TGTTATCGTGTTAATATATTGGAACATCTTTGAAGGATCGATTTTGTGTGAAGGTCAAAGCAAGTATGAGGATTGGATGTTGTAACTTTTAAAAATTCATTAAGAAAATGAATTTTCTTCTCAACAAGTTTTCTTCTTCTCTTCAAACAATTTTACATTGTGTAAAGATGCCAGTTAAAGTTTATTTATCAAGTTTATAAATAATTTAAGATCATGCAGGTAGAATTTCTGCTTTTTCATCTAATACTTAATAAACTTGAACAAGCATTTTTGTATATCATCTTTTTTGTTTTTTGTTTTGTCTTCCAGAATTAATTCTTCAAAAAATGTTAACATCTTTTGTATATATATAAAAATCATCAATCTGTAACAGATTAAATTGCGAGGCAATATTACTATTATAAAAGTCATATAATTAAATTAGAAGCGTTACAGTTATATCATATTTAAATAATAATATTCATGTAGTTGATGCATCATGCATTTGTGTAACGATGAAAGATAAATCTTGGAATTAAATCTGTAAGATTATGTAGAAAACATCCTAACAAGTTTCTTTTCCAACAATATTTAATTATTTAATACAAATACTTTCTAAAGAATTTATTTATTATATCTACTGTGATATAAACATACTATATACAAAGTTAAATAAATTTACTTATCTTTATTAGATAAATTGAGATTTAAAATTTTTTGGAAATTAGTAATGGAAACTATTATTCAACTTAGACCACAATGAATCTTGTGATGAAACTACTTGATATCAAATTTGTTTTAATATCTGCACTTTTATAAACGTCAATAATAGTTTAATATATAAATTACATTATTAATAAATATTCACCACTTTATCCCATCATTTTATCATCTTATTCCATATTTCCCTTATATTTAAAACTTTTAAATTAAATACAATATTATATGTCAATATTATATACATTTACTAAGCCTAAATTATTTTCTTTACCAGATAATTGCATAAGCTATATTAATAGATTAAATTAGTAATAAACAAAGATTAAAAATTAATATTTATGATTCTTTCCTTATATTGAAAGTCGCAAAAAAAAAAAAAAAGAAAAAATACTTCTACTTCTATAAATACTTAAATTCGAAGAAAATTATACTTAGCAACATCGATAATTAACGATTTGAACTAACAATTTACGCTTCGTTCCATTTATTCATGAGCTTAAATACCACCCAAGTAATTATCTTACTTTCTTTGTTTACTGTACTAGCAAAGCGTATGGAAATACGCATAAAGAAACATGATAAAACAGGGGCACAGAACCGTGTTGTGGCGTTGTTTCTTCCATGTTGATGCGATGCAAAACGCATATAAATTGATTATTTTTTTTTTTTCTTTTTGTACTTTGCACAGCTGTACTATTCGTGACGTAACTCTAATTATATCCTTAGATATAACGAGCCGACAATAGTCAAGTCTTTTAACTCGAGTACCACTCGATCTCGAATCAAGGAAACGTGTGTTCTCTTTCTTATCGGTCGATGACAAACGATAATTCAAATGCTTCCTCTGTGGTATGTTAAATAACCTTATTTCCATTCAAAAAATTGACTCGTAACAATATTATTTGTTCAAGAATTTTATTTTAACGTATTTATAATTATTATAGTATTTATAATAGCGAAGAAGAATCGTAAAAAAGATTGGTTATTCAGATCTATCGATTCGTCGAATTATTGGCGTTATGAAAAATATCGTGAAAGGTAGTTTTAAACATATCGAAAAATATATTTAGAATTACGATTCGTGGATAGATGGCGTTCTATCTAATGACCTTGGGTTCATAAATTTAGATAACTCGTCGAAAAGCTGTCTCTTCGTCGATTTTAAAAGCTTGAAATAAATGGTCAAATCTTCACGATTGGTATTCTTTTGAAAGAACATTTATATATGTACGTAATATATTTACATCGTTAAATTTTCGATATATGGTAATTATTCCATTAGTCGTATCGTTGTTAAATCAACCTAATACCATTGAGACCAATAAACAATGAAAACAATTATGAAAATTTTTTAATAACAGGATCTAGGAATCACATAGAATTTGCACGGAATGAAATAGCTCTATCTTTAGAGCTATTATCTAATATCACATTATCTGATTTAAATTGCATTATTTATTATAATTTAACAAACAAGCGATATTTTTGTTTTGAGAATCTTTAGAATTGATTCTCTAAAAGTATATATTTCATAAATATATTAACGACTTGTATACTATTAATAATAAATAATAAAATTAAAACGAATTAAAACAATTTTTTTCTTAAATATTTTATTTTTTATTAAATTTGTATTCAATTATACTATGATTCTTATATACTCTACATTTTTTGATTCGATTTGATTTGATATTTGTCATGATATATTTTTCTTATATGGAGAAATATAGGTGTGAAAGAGTTTTCGAGTTGATATTTAATTTATATTACGTACAATCATATTATAAAAATTATCATTACAAAGAAAAAAAAAAGATTAGAAAAATGCTTTTATTAAAACAGATCAAAAAAAATAAAAAATTTGAGATACAAATTTGGAAAAATTTTTCAATTTATCGATGCCATTATCAATCTATTATTATAATTGCGTATAATCATCAAGTCAATGGTCTGAAAATCATTCTATACACACAAAACTTTAGAGCTTTTGTTGGTCATGTTAACATTTTACTTCTTTAGCAGGTTGATTGACGTGTATAATCTGCAATCAACGGGCATAAGATCTTTTATACCCGCCCCTATTCATAGTCTACTATACAAATAGTTCTTCAAGAAGTTAAATCCAGGCAATAAGTCAAAAGAGTGAAAATTAACGATGAAAATTTATTTTAAATTGAGAAGTGTGTACATTAAATCAATTATATCATCATTTATCCAATTTATTGTTTGTTGAGTATATAATTAATATTCTTATATAACTAATATACCTTTATCTTGTAGTAATTTTATTAATCTGTTTCATCTGTGAGTATAATAATGTTAGATAAACAATCGATTGAATATTCGTTTCAAAGAAATAAAAATAATTTTTGACCAATTGATTATATTATATCTGTTAATTATTTTCTAAGTTAATTTTAAGTCATAATTATAATTACTTTTCACACATTTTTATTAATCACTTTGATAATTAGAGATAATATAATTTATATATTTTGAAAGCTTAGTAACTAAAATCTCTTTTATCAAAATTCATGTAAACGAAATATAAAAAATATATATGTGAAGTGCTTTTTGCAGATATCTCGAAAACTATATTTGAACAATAATTATGCATTATACGTCTTCTTTTATACATTTATCATTACCTATATCCACGCATTCTAAATAGAAAATCACTTTTTCTTTCGTCAAATTTGGTATTTTCTAATTCCAAAAATTACTACTAATATTTTTCAAATTCAACTTTGAACAAATAAAAGATTCTTCGCTGTCCCAAAACAAAGTTCACTCATTTATCAAACTCCAAATTTAGTTGAGTCACAGTTAACAAAATAATTGATCGACGATACGAAAACAAGACACACGTTGCGTCAAATTCGTTCTTGTTTGTTCCAAATATGAATGTAACAAAGTCGAATCCTCGTTGCGTACGTTTTTCGTGAAATTTTTCTTATTTTATTTTCATTTGAAATTTGCCAGGATACTGGACCAATTCATTGAAAATAATCTTGCTCGCTATTTGATGAGCTGAATTTATAAATAGCGTTGGAGGAGGTCGCTGGATATATGTAGATATCGGCACCAACTGCTTATGTTATCAAAATGACGTAAACGTAAGTGCATCATTATGCCGTAATTATTACGGATAAGATTATATTTAATAGACACGTCACATTTACCGATACGGATGATAATCGCCTCTCTGTTTTATACGCCTGATCACCCATTTTTTTTTATATGAAATTAGCGAATTTTTATTATCTGTAAAAAAAAAAAAATTGTAATCTGAAAATTAATCTTATACGTTAAGCGTTATAGGGAATTCTTTGGTGTCTAATTATTATTCTCTTATCGAATGTTTTAGTTAATTTTCTTTATATCTGTCGTATCTATTTGTTTCGTGCAATATATAATCGCTTTGTTCATAACGATTCAGTATAATCGATAGAATTGAAGAAAAAATGATATCTGTGAAATTATTGCAATATTACGTCGACACGAAAAGTATGATAAGTCTAATAGAATAATTTATTAGAATATTTTGTTTTATTAATAATTTTATTTCAATGATTAATTTGGTTTATATACAAATTATAAGTACAATCAATACATCTGTAGGTGTGTATAAAATTATTACAAAATCGGAATATTCTGATTATATTCTAGAGCAAAAGATTCTTCATCTTTTCAAAATCGTGGAATTTTTACAAGAAAAACTTGCGAAATAGTTAAAATCGCTAAGATGATAATTTATGACTCATAAAACTAACAATAAAAACATACATGAAAATATCTTTCATTAAAAATTAAAGTACAAATAGAAAAAATTCTGCAAGACTCTCGTATTGAATTGAGGAAAACTAAATTATTGAAAAGAAAAAACCATCAGTTTTTGTATTGCAGATTATCTATCATATTATACTATAATAAATAAATAATGCACAACAGTCAAAATATAAATGATTAGAATATTAAAAAAAAGTTTTTAATATTTTATATATTGATATACAATTATTAATATATTCGTAGAACATCTTTAAAGGATTATATTATAGTGACATAATTTTATCTTCGTTATACTATCGTTTTATCTTATTTCATCTAATATAAACTTAAATTACTTAATAAATAAGTTACAAATATAAACGAAATTTGTATATAACACACATTATTTATTACAAAATTTAATTTAAAAAAAAAGTAACAAATTTTCAATTGGTTCATCAGTAATTCAGAACGGTTTATTTCATGCATCAAATTTCAATAAAAATCCGCCTCAAGTCGCGAATTTATGATAGCTCATGAGTAATTCGCAGCACCTTTATAAAGCTCCCCTTTATCACGATTCTCTTCAATGCAAATCTTCGCGAAGCTAACGGCAATGGATCGCGCAATGTGGGGGGATACAAGTGACAAGGTAATGGCGACATTCGTGTAATTTAGCGTCTATTACGCTTAATACTGAACAAAGATGAATGGCAGCTCTTATTTTGAAACGAATTGAAAGTCACGTTAGAACACGAGAATAATTCCGTGGAATGAAATGGGAAGCGACCGTAAGGAGACAAAGTGACCGTGCACAGTCTCAATCTAGAGGGCGTGTTAACGTTAGAATTGCCAACCTATGATATGTACCTAAGTATATTACACATATGATTGTGAAAATAACTAGATATAGGATATCTAGGATATTCCATGTTACGTTTCGATTTATTTTTTTTTCCTTCGTTACGATGTTTAGCTAAGAATATTTATGCACAAATGATGTAAATAAAATTAAAATATTATCGTTACTTGTGTTTGTAATATATTATTTATATTCGTGATCAGGTATTTAACAATAATTATGCACAGAATACCATTTTGAAAATCAAATATATAGAATGTCATGTGTAACTGTCGATTTATTTATCTTTTTTATTTTCGTATTATTTATATTTGAGATTATGTATTTAAGAATAAATATATTATATACGGATTATTAAAGTTAAAGTACTATTGAGAAAATAAAGGAATAGAATGTTCCATGTAATTAAGATTTACCTTCTTTTCGTTATTATCTATTACATTGTATTTATATATATATTATACATAATATTATGTACCGATCATTAAATTATCGTGAAAATAATTAGATATATGGGGTGTTAATAATAAATATAATTATCTGTTTATTTATGATTTATTTTCTTTTTATCTTCATTTTGATATATCGATTCTCGCTTATATATTTAACAATAAGTATTGTGAAAATTTAAATTTAAAAAAATAGATATAGGATATTCTATATAATTATCGCTATGATTTATTTTCTTTTCGATAAAAAGTCAAGCTTATTTTTGGAAAATTTCTTCAATTTTTCATTATATAAGTACTAGACAGCTTTAGTTTTCGAGTAGTTTATATAGTCAAAAATATTTTTCACCATATATTATTATGCATATGTTTTGGCATAGTTCTGAGATATTATAAGCTCTGACATACTATAGGGATTGTTGTCTGGCATTTTCGTCTAGCCAAATCTGTGCCAGTTCATTGAAAGTACTCTATATCCCGGATCATTTTACAACAAGATAACTATTTAATTTTTTTACTCGAACTAATTAAAATTGAATCTATCATCTATGACAAGCCTCTTTGAAAATAAAATTCCTTGTATCAAAAAAATTGATTAAATCTTAACAATCTTGAAGAAAATAAAATTTGTTTAAATATGTTCTTCTTCTTCTTCTTCTGAAGATCCTTTTTATTATTATACATGTCATACAATCTATTTTAATTTAGTATGAGATTATCATTATGTTCAAGACTTAATGTAACATGTGTCAAGCTTGTTCTATATTGTATATTTGTCATATATAAATGATATAAGATATAAATGATCCATTATTATTATATTTTTATATTATTATATTAATCCTCGTATTCTGCTACGTGATCTTTGGACAAATTATAAAATAAGTCGTGTATAAAGACATATAACATGTAATCATTTAAGAGGTTAAACGTGTACGTTATCGTGTAATAGTTGGAATTAACATTTAATTCGATTTTTCAAGGTGAAAATACTTCTCAAACGTTAATACGAATTTTCTTATTTCCTTATGATATAAGAAGATCATTAGAATAAAAATTTAATAGTTTTATGCTGTATGAAATTATGCATTTAAATTGTTGAAGTTTATAACCTCTAAACCTCTATGATTATTAATTACGTAATTTTATGTCAATTATATTATTTCTCCCCTGACAATATTCAAATATTAATATATAATAGTGTTAATGCAATCGATAATGCAATAGATTGTTCTTTCTTGTTACAGTTTCTTCAAAATTTGGGCAAAGTAGATAGAACTGCAGATGACATATTCGACGAACATTTGCAGAATTTCATGAGACAACAAAACGCCGCGAACAGATTGCAAAAAGAGTTCAACAATTACATCAGGTGTGTTCGAGGTAAGTTCGATTGAAAATCATATTGAAGCAAATTATCCAATATATTTATATAAATATAACCTTCTTTAACGAATTAAAACTCACGTGTACGAGCAAAGGCGCGTGAAATAAAATTGTTCTGTTTACATTAATTCGTGCAAAAGCATTTGAATACTATTTTATTGAATACTTATTATTTTATTGAATTTTGAGTAATTTTAAATAAAATTTCGTATGCACGTGTGTCTGGAATTTCTTTTAACAATAGAATGTTAAAATACTAAATTCTATACATATTTTGTAATTCGATTCAAAGTTTTTGCTTTATTTTACACCAATACAGATTATATTTAAAAAAAAAACAAAAAGTGCACTGAAAATTTAAATGTTGATTTTATCTTCTTGAAGTAATTTTATTTTCGATAAAAAGAAAATTATTCCATATAAATATATGACAAATTCTCCCATCATATTCAGAAAATTTTAAATTTCATTCAAAAATAACAAACGTTCAAATATCATTTCATAGTAATGTATATCTTTGATACTTAAAAATGTAATCTTTCTCTCTCTCTCTCTC